TATGCTACATATGCATATCAAGTTGTATTTAATACAGACTCCACCATGGAGATTAAAAGAGTTTTTAGAATGAAAATTTTAAAAAAACAATTTTTTTATATGTTCTCTTTTTTAATCTTCAGAAGACTATTTCACTTTAAAATATAGATGCTCTTGCTATTAGTTTTGGTTAACATGGGGCTTTTTCAGAAGTTTTTACAGAACTGGAGAAAAACAGATTGTACTGAAAAATGGTCATATTCTTTTTTAAAAATACAAAAGCTAGATATGACCCAAGGATTTATCATGGGCCCCAGAGACCACCACTTCAGAACTGAAGACTTAGAAGTTAATAAACTGTACTCCAAGGAGTGGCATGGTATCACAAAGCTAGCCACCAATCGCCCAACTAGTGTCCTTTGATTTTTCTTATACAACAACAATTGAATATCTCAACTCAAAAAAAAAAAAACAAAAAACTTACTAAGATTTTTTAGGTAAGACAAAGTAGTATACCATACGATTTTCTATAATTTCACTCTTTCATAGGATTCATATAAGAAACCAAGATCAAAGATGATCTGACAGTAGAGTCAAAACGTCATATTATTTTGAAAAATAGTAAATATATTTTCAAAGATTTTGTCAAGAGGGATTAACGTGTACTTGTGAGTTAGACACAAGGAACAAAGAAGGTGGGCGGGCTATTTTTATTTTTAGCTTATTTCCAGAGAAAACAGTTTTGAATAACACATTTGCAGAATGCCAGATCAAATGAATTTAAGGAAGATTTATTATTTCTGAAGAAATTAGTAGAAATGTTTACAATTGCCATGTTCAACCTGCTACAGAACAGCTGGGTGAAGCAGCGGCCCAGGCCCTGGGAGGTGTCTGACTCCTTGTACTGTCCAAGCTGACTCTTTCCATAGGGAACATTTTCTTGAAAGTTCACCTACCATTCTGTCCCTGCCACTGGCTTTTTAAAAATTAAATTTAGCTTTCTATTTTCTAGCAAGTTTTTAAAGGAAAGAAGACAAAATGAAAGAAGGATTTTTCATTACAGCCTTTCAGGGCTTGTTTACACATACTACTAGGTATCTTAGAAATTTATTTTTCATTTTAATTAGCTTCTTACTCATCATGAAGTTAGTTTCTGTTATCTCACTGTGTTTATAAGATTGCACCCTTTAAATTGCTTCAAAGCACAAACATAAAATATAATGTGCGGTTGAAAACAATGCAGTAACTACTAAAATGTTTTATATCTATTTCTAAAACTTGACTAATCCAAAGAGAACTTTTTTTTTTTTTTAATGAAATGCTGGGCCAGTATCATGGAAACCTAGGTTTCTCTTGAGCCAGGGGCAGAAACCAGCTCTCTGCCTGGTCAGAACCACCATCTTCTCAAGCTCTAATTTTGACCAGAAAGTTGAAAATCCTGATTTTTTTTTCTTTTTCTTTTTTCTTTTCTTTTTTTTGAGTCAAAGTCTCTGTCACTCAGGCTGGAGTGCAGTGGCATGATCACGACGAACATGACTCACGGCAGCCTTGTCCTCCTGAGCTCAGGCGATCCTTCCACTTCAGCCTCCCGAGTAACTGGGACTACAGGCATGTGCCACCACCCCGGCTCATTTTTTTATTTTTTATTTTCTTCTGTAGAGATGGAGTTTTGCTCTGTTGCTCAGTCTGGTCTCCAATGGGCTCAAGCAATCCTCTCACCTTGTCTCCCAAAGTGCTGGGATTACAGGCGTGAGCCACTGCGCCTAGCCTACCTTAGTCATTCTAACAACTGTATTTATGGAGTTGGAGGTCAGGAGGGGCCTCTATCATTATGTAGAATCATTGCTTTTGGTTATCAGGTAAAGAACAGAGAAGCATTCCTGAACAGCCTTAATGCCATTCTGACCCTCACCCTCATAGATGAGGTTGTTACACTATTTTAATGAGTAGAAAAGAGCCTAACAATGTTTTTAAAGTCTGATTGAATTGGACGGGCTTTTTAAGCGAGTTACTAATTTCCTGTTGCCCAAAACTCAATTTAAAGTTTTGACATGAAGTACCATGTGTGTTTATTACTGAGAGGACTGTTCAAATTTGAATCCAAGATCCTAATTTGAGAATAAGTGATTACACTATGACCAAAATATTCCCTCACTCCCCCATCCCAAGTTTGCAATGTGTAATATATACCTTAATTCAATAAATTAACATATTCAGGAAGCCTACAGAGAGCAGAGATACCCAACCCTTATATCAGGGGTCTGTAGAGGACCACATAATAAATAGCTTAGGCATTGAAGGCCATATATTCTGTGTTGTAGTTATGTGACTCTCCCATCATTGGAAAATAGCCAAAACAGTGTATACGAATATGGCTGTGTTCCAATAAAAGCTTATTTGTGGACACTAAAATTTAAATTGTTATAATTTTTATGTACAAAATATTCCTTTTAATTTTCTTTTCTTTTTGCTTTGAAAATGCTTTCCTTTGATTGCTTTTTCTGTGTTTAAAATTGTAAAGTGGGAGCCATAGTTTTCCACCTCGTGCTGTGGATTTTCAAGTGGGTAGGACATAACTACCATTATTAAATAGCCAAAATGAAAGTAAAAGTATGACTAATATCATTTAAGGAAGAAATTAGAGAATTTTAAGTGCCTCAATTGGGTAGCACAAGGAAATCTAGACAGCACTGGAGGTAATAAGCTGTCTATTTTGGACCATACCAGCCTCTAACATCCGTCTAAGGTGAACCTGAGGGCTCCTGTCTACCTCTGCTCACTCCTGCTCTCCTCCCCGGCCCATTCCAGCTGGGAGCCCTTCCTCTACCACTGGAAGGCCAAGGGCAGGGCTAAGCAGCGTTTCCAATTCCACATGCCACTTCCTCACCAGCAGAGGCATACACATCGTCTAGCCACATTCATCTATTCTCCAATTATGATTTTTTACTCTTTTCTTTTTAGGCCTTATCCCCTCTGTAGCTGACACCATAGTGACACAGGACACATAGCTAGGAGATACCTGTTGGTGACAAATAGCCAACTAGCTTGGCCCAGTGCGCCCAAGATGAATGTATGTTTGAAAAGATGATTTATATCAAGCTCAACTTATTTGAACCCATGCTCGTGGTATAAATTTCAAAAACATAGAAGTGTCCTATAACATGTAAAAGCATGTTAATAATTACCATTGACATACAGTAGACCTCCAGTCTTTTTAAGTTAGGGGTTCTGTTGATTTTTATTTGTTTAATTTCTGTCAAACTCTGGCCAGTAGACACATGCAAATACAGATTTCAGACAACCAGAATAAATCAGAAGTTGAGGTTTCGGGTCAATCCAGTCATAGGCTTTTGCTTAAATCCAGTCAGTAGGCTTTTACCTTTCACAGTAACCTAGAGCATCCTGTGGGCCACAGTTAGTGCATCAATATTTCTAGACTTAATGGGTCCGAACTATTTATTCTCTCCTGAAAGGGCCACTTGGTCCTAAAAGGGCCCATGTAAACATCATTGATTTAAGAGTTGAGTGAAACACATTGGGTTCCGTTTAATCTAGTTGACCCATGTAGACATGACCTGTACATCTCATTTATAGGGTTTCGTCACTTTCGGAGTACACATCTGTATATTTATGTGTGTTGCAGTTTTATTAATTCATTCAAGTACATGCTTGGCACCTATTCTAGGTTCTGGGAATACTGAAATAGTATTTTAAGCATTCGGAAGCTGGTAGAGGAAATAGACATCTAAATTAAATCTTTATGGTATATTGTGATAGGTTACTGAATAGAAGTAGGAAGGAAACAGTTTGGGAATGCCTAAGGAAGTAGAACTCGGTCTGAGGATGTGACAGAGTTTAGATAGCATAAGAATTACCCATCCCACTGTAGCATAGTGGAAATGCTGGATTCAGAGCCATGTACATATTTTTACTGGCCTTGGGTAAGTTCTTACATCGAGCCTCAGTTTTCTTATCTGTGAAGTGGGGTTAATACTAACTTTTGGGATCAGCAATAGCTCCCTTCCCCATAATGGGCACTTTTCACCAGAGGCTAGATGTGGCCAAGAAGCACACTGTAGACTATTGGGTACAAGGGACAGAAGAAGAGATCCATTTTTGTGGGGTTGCATGGGGACAGGGCTCCCATTCTGAATGAGAGCCAGGAGGACAGCACACCTGGGTCAACTATTGTCCTGCTCCCCGTGGGAGCTCATTTGGACCATGGATAGTGTATCTTTTCCCAGCACAGTCTTTGCATATTTTACCGTCCTTACAAGTTGACTGAGGGACCTGGTCAAATTACATACTTCTTCAGACGACTTTTTTCCGTGAGTTTCAGCACCAGGACCAACTTGATAATTCCTCAGGACTCGCCCTAATTCTTAAGTCCTGAAAAATAGTGTAAACTTTAAACTATTAAAATATCTAGGATTCTTTCCTCCCAAACAAACATACAAAAGATATTTATAAATAAATAAGACATATTTAATACCTGATTTCTGGGGGCATTTGAGTGCTCTACCTTGAATGAAAGTTTATGCATATTCTCAGTGACTGATAAATGGATGTTGTGTCCTAAAATAGCCTTGAGAAATCTAAGTGGTGCACAATTGGGGAGGGGGAATTGAAAGGAAGCATAACTAATTGAGCTTTACAATTCTTTGTGACGTCCAGCTTAGGAACCAAATCAAACTTGGTGGCGCTCTAGTCATTTTCTTTCAGCCTACAAGTGGTCGTTATATCCAGTGGCAGCCAGTCCATGCCTGTTGATATTGGCATGGTCCTAATCGAGAATGCAAGTGTTAACTAACTCACCAGATGTCACAGCAGGAAAGAGGAGATCGAAACCCTCACCTGTCTGACCGTAAACCCGCTGGTGGGACGGTAGGGTTTCCTGACAAAGATTTACCAACTGGAAAATTCACTGAATGCAACAGTTGCCTTAAATAGGGTGCTGGCTTGGCTGTTACGGAAAAGAGATGGCCAGAGCACCAAAGCTTGTGTCCCTTTGTTTCTTCCAGGAGAGAAGCCCTACAAGTGTACCTGGGAAGGCTGCACCTGGAAGTTTGCCCGTTCGGATGAACTGACGAGGCATTACCGCAAACACACGGGAGTGAAGCCATTCAAGTGCGCGGACTGTGATCGCAGCTTTTCCCGGTCAGACCACCTGGCCCTGCACCGCCGGCGGCACATGCTGGTGTGAGGAATGCTTCTTGTCCAGCTGAGCATAAGAGCTGGATCTCTTAGCGGCACCCAGTTCAGCAGGGCTGAATCCCCTTCACAGTGTTACCACAAAGGGCATCACCATCCCACGATGTCTGAAACCGGAGCAGGAAAAAGAAGAAACCATTCTCCTTTCGGTGTGAAGGTAACCCCCACCATGACTACGCAAGAACCGTCTTCACGCTGGCCTGGGAGCTGAGGGACACACATGCTGAAGAGACAGGCAGTGTTTCCCGTGCTGTGTACTCTGCCACTTAAAGATGTTTGTAGCTTGTACATTTTCCAAGCTGTCAGACATTTTGTTATTGATACCTTAAAGGTCACCTACCACAAATTGATGGCTAGAGCAAGACCTTTTACATTTGGATGGTTCTCCCATCATCCCACCCCTCTGCCCCTTTTTACAAAAATTTTAGTTACTCTCTAAGTAAACTAGAACACACATCCAATCTGTTACCAGCAAGCAGCATGAAAGTAGAAAAGAAGAGGCTGTCGGAGAGGTCCCATTACCTGGAAAGAAAGGGGCACTCAAGCAGCTCTTTGCAATGGTGATGGCGGCAGCTAGATATCGCTCGCAACTTGTCATTCTGCCATGCCCTGAAGAAACCAACATTGAATCTTTCATTTGTTTGTCGTTGATTGTTTTTGTTTTGTTTTGGTTCTGTTTTGTTCATCTGTTCAAGCAGAGGGGCAGCGACATTTCAGTTAAGTCTCGTCCTGGTCTCTGCCCTGGCATGGACTGGCACAGAGGTGTTCTGTAGTTGAATAGGAAGAGCCTGTCTAAAAAACTACTGCCCCACTTCAAATTGCAGTGTCCTGTCACCCAGGCATCATCTCTTCCTGCCCCTAGTATTTGATTACAAGGAATCAGGGGAAAAAAACTTTCTTAGACACACTGGCACCAAGGTAAGGTGGGGCTGCCCAGGCAAAGTCAGTGAACATGAAAAATCAGACAAAGCAGAGATGGAAATAATGCACCTCTTGAGGAGAAAAGCAATAACGAATAAAAGGACTTTCCTACAATAACTTCACTGAGGACTCACGTTACCAATTTTCATACTTACTAAAGGGATTGTAAAAAACACCCCAGCATTTTAGATGTCTTGGTTACCTTTACAGCACTGAGGTCATCTTTCTGCTGTTTGTTGTCCTGCTTGGTTGAGTACCACAATTAAAGATTATGCTCCCCTTTTCTTGTTTGAAAACAGTTATTTGGTGACTAGAAAGGTAAGGGAGGCGTAGCCGGGAATTAACTCTTCAGTTAATGGGTCAGTTCTCCTTGGAACTGAGTCAGTGGAAAGGGAACACTCCCCGTAGAAAGCCTGACATGGTGCTAGTTTTCTCTCTTGGAGAGCCAAGGATACAGTGTCTCTCCAATAGGTTCTTCTATACAGATTTAATTTTCTAAACTGTACCAGGACCCGAGGGTCCTGCATTGGCATCTGCAGGGATATTGAACCTACTCATCTTATGCTGAGGATGAGAGGAAAGTATAGTCCCATCAACCCCTGAAAATTGTGAACCTTCTTGTAACTAGCAAAGTATACAGTAAACAAAGCAATACATCACCAACAAGCATTCTTTCAAAAAGTTATCATATTGTGGTCCCCACTACAAGCTGGTTTTTTTCCAGCTCTGTGTGACTGAGGGGCTTGATGAGATTTTTGTTGTTGTTGTTGTTGTTGTTGTTAGAATTTTTTATAGCTTAGATATAAAAGGTCCCCAGCAAAGGCCTTTGCAATATATTTTAATTACAAACACTTGATTTGGGGAATTGCACAAATTAACCTCACAATATTGCTAGCTCGTTTGTAAATGTTTGGACATTCTGAAATAATTTCCGGTTACAGAAGTATCCTTTTCGGGATCATCTTCTAATCCAGATAACCTTATTCTGATGAAGCGAGAACTGTGAACATTGAAACAACACTTTGTGTTGGATGATATTAAAAGGAATTTTTTTAATGTTAGGCAACAGTATAATGATGTTTTTGGAGGTTAAATTCTGGCTTCAAATATATATGCTGTATATTGTCAGGTCTGAAAAATTCATCAGGCAATTTCTCTCCAACAAGGGCTGCAATTCTATTGATAAGTAGTATCTTTAGCTACATAATCTACTACCCACCCACCTATTGGGGTTTTTACCATCTGGAAAGTTTTTTATCTGTACTGTATGCAACTCCTTTACATTGCCTGTGACCATTCAGATTAGAAAAAGGTCTCTTGCTACATGCCAGAGTTGGCTACTGGTCAGTGACAAAGAACACAGAGAGGGGCGCACACAGCCATGAACCTCCTGACGCTAGATCCCAGTTGGCTGGTGGTAGGTGAGTCACTCAAGAAAAGTATAGGTTTGATTTAGTTCTGCCTGCTCTCATAGGAAGAACTGGTCCTTTTCTCTGCTGAGAGATATCTTAAGAGTATTACAGGTATACTTGGTTTTTAGAATTCATAGGACTGACAGGCAGTGGAAGCTTCCTGAGTGACGGGTGGGTTTAAATTTAGCACAGAACTAAATGAGTTGCACTTCTTTAATAACGTAGGAAAGACTTGGGGAAGCGAGCTTTTCTCCTCATCCTCTGAAAGTGGAAACAAGGTTGAGACGGTAAGCTAACTGATAAAACCTTTTAGCATTCTCCCATCTCCCCATTTTGATATATTGATTCCTCTTAGAAGGAATCCAAGCACAAGTGAGTTCCCGATCTAGCTCTGGAACCAAAACTTCTTCGGGGCTTGTCCTGGGACATAGCAAATTCTCTTTGGTGAGTTTTCTAAGACTGTTTCCCCATGGAAAGCAAAAAGTGGTTTGGGACAGAAGGAAATGAAATGTCTTCAGGCCTGGAAAAGCCTCCATTTCATCTCATGACCATTTCTAGCCTCACTCAGAAAGCACAGTGTGTGATGAGCCACAGAAAAGGGAGAGAGTCCTAGAAGCATTCTTTGGTCTTACACTTGAAGCCATTCAATTTGCACCTGGGGAAATGTGCATGGTTGAGAGCGTGGACTTATAGAGCTGCTAACGGCTTAAGCAGCTGCAGTAGATCTGGCTTTCTCTTTGCATTGTAGAGATTGATTTCAGGGGAGTCACATTATTGGAAAAGTTATGAGGTTCAGGCTTTGAGATTTTAAGAGTCCCTTTTCATGTTCTGATCTTAAGTTGTTTGGAAAAAGATTCACGCTTCCCTGTCCACCTCTGCCCTCGTCCCACCAATCGTGTGTGGACTCTGAGAAGCCTGCGTGATGACTTGTTTAAGTTCTTTTCAGGCAGGTAGACTGAGATTTCTAATGGCTTTACCATACAGATTATACTACTGCCTGGCCTCACTTTTACAAAACACTATAGGACATTTGTTTTCAAAAACAGTTGAATAACAGTAACATAAACCACATTTTTAAAAAAATGAGTGCTTTTTCTTCACTTTAAAGATGAAATGAGAAACAGGAAGATGATTGTCAGAGGATAAACCTTCTAATGTGCTACAGTGTTTACAAATTCCAGTTCTAGGTGATTATAAAGGCCATTTTCATTATGGTTGAAATTTGAAATAGCTTATGCAAAGATTGTGTTCATTTTTATACAACTCCAATTGTATTAACTTCAAATTGCCATTTGTGTTTTAAACATCAATATAATTCTGCACTTTGAAATCAGCTCATTAGAATGATAACATGTGTATAGATAAAGATGCAGTATTCCTTATTCTGTATTTATTATACTTACCAAAGCTGCAATTGAATAAATCTGGTGAGGTGAGGCCTTCAAATGTATGAATACGCCTTTGTTATATTGTTTGCTTCAAAATGTAGCCATGATGTTGTTATAAAGGTGTCTTAACACTTATAGTGAGGACTCACAGAAATTAAGCAGTGTTCAGAAAACCAGCATCCATGTTACAGTCTGTGTATAAGGGACTGAATTCTTATGAATCATAATAGGCCCAGGAAGCCTTAATATTCATAGTTCATAGTCCAAACTCAGATTTTGCTCTTAACTGTTGCCTGTAAATTTAGCAGGTAAATGTATTCTAGGACAACATCATTGACCAAATCTCTTTCTTTAGTTTTTCTGAGGTAGTGCATCCCATAAAAAAATCTTTTTGATTTGATTTGGCTTAGTGTGGAAAAGGGGTTTGTTAAGTCATGTCTTTCGTGTGACAGTTCTCCTCATCTCACATTGCCTTCCACTCAGCCTGTGCAGACATGCACATTTGTATACATGCCTGTATGCAGCAGCCAGTGGGCTCATAAATATCAACAAAGAACTTTTTAAAAAAGAGTTTTAATAATCCATGCCGTCTAGAAATGTCAGTTATTTACCTTATTAGGGAAACAGCTTCTAATACTATCTATGACTCTGCCTGCATTTTGTAGTTAAGAAATGTACATAAAAATTAAAATGCTATATTTTCACAGTTTCATTATAGAGTAATGTCTGTTTAGCAACCCATGTCCATTTGTATTTTCAATATGCTAAATACTGAGCAATTGCAATAGAAATTCAGATTTTCATAAGAAAGTGAAATAGAAGGATACTGCATCTTTAAAAAAATAGAGTGAAGATATTTTACTGTATTCATAACGTGTGATAGTGGAAAAAGTATTTTCAAACTCACAAATTTTACAGAGGTTGTAAATAGTTTGATGAAGTATGTTGGGAAAAAGAGCTTCTAGTTTTCATCACAATAAAAAGAAAAAAAAAACTTGTTCAGATATGCCTTGTGTATCTTACACACAGTGAGTGAGATTGCCATGGAATCTGTGTTCCGCTTTGTCAGGGCACGTTGTTTGTGCCCTGTCGAAATGGAGTGGCCACTTGTCATGGTTTAGCCACGACGGTTGAAAGTGTAATGAAGTCATTTTAAGTTGCAGACAACTGATTCCAAACTTGTAATGCCTTTTCCTGAAAAGGGCAAAACAGCAGCACAGGACTTTACTTGTGCTAAAGAAGAAGATCTTACCATTGTTCTGTTTTCTCAGTTATCTTCCTTCTCAACAAAGTGGTTCTTGATTAAATAATAATAATAATAATAACCAGACAGGTGTTTATTCTTGTTTAATTCCAGAGGGATTGCTTTTAGGTGTTGCTACAGTTGACAAGATTAAGCTGTGGATATGGCCACGTGTTAAATGAATCTATACCGGCAATAAGAATAAACTAGTGCCCATTTTCAGAAATGAATTCAAAGCTGAAAGTGCCTGTCAGTAAACATTATGACCAATGAGATAGTCCTGTACACAGCAATAATTCTTCATCAGATTGGATTTTTCCTGCACATTTTGAAAACACACACACACAGAGTAAATATATGCACATAGTAAATTAAATCTGTTCACATACCCACAAAAAAGCTTTTGCGTCTTTTAAATATGCCTAATCTTATTTACATTAACATTTCTTAATGTGATCTTTCTCACTTGCAGACCATAAGAATGCAAATCTAAACATTAAGTTTATCTCCAGTAAACACTATGGCACATGATATTTACAATTTTTGGATAAAAACTCCACTATGATTTGTCCCAAACCTATGAAACAATATGTATGGTTCAAAAAGTTTTGCTCGGTTAAAAACACCAATTTAATTAGAGCAAATGACTGAGGGGGATATTTGTTTGTTTTATTTTATCTATTCATATCAAATGCACAAATCCATCTTTACATTTCTTTATTCTCTTTCTCCCTAGCATTTCCTATCATCTAAGAATCATTTTGGAATGAATAACAACCAAATCATTTCTCCCCCAAAAGTCTCCTGAAATAATGCTGACACTTTAACCAGTTTGCAGTTAGTCCTAAAAATGACCAGATTCACACTGAGAAGTCCACAGGTTTTTCCTGTAATTATTTTCCTGTTAAAAGTGGAGTCCTGGACAGAAATGTGCAGGGAGATTATGTGACTAGACATGAACCCTGGAAATCCTCCAGCCCTGCCATCTCAGGGCATGAATTCCCCCCACAGGCTGTCGAGGCCATCAGTAAAAGTCTACTCACTGAGAGGCAAACATTTGGTAAGAACAATTTTAAAAGTATGACTGTGATTAAACATTCAGGCTTTAGACTACCACAGCGGACAGTGTTCTCTAGACTCAGACCACAGGCCTCAAAACCCATCCACTGTTTTCTCCTCTAGGTTTTAGAAAAGAAGGAAAGGGAGAATGTATCAGAATGGGGATAAAACAACCAAGTAAGTAAGTGTCAAAG